GGGCATATGCAAAATTCAGTAAATAAGAGTGTGGTGCATGATAAACATTAGATTGATATGGCCTGAGTTTTAGTCCTGCACCTGACATTAAGTGACCTTGGTCAAGCTATGTGACCTTGCATGGGTCATTCATCTTCTCTATGTTCTCATTCCCTCCCTTGCAAAATGTGAGAGTTAAGCTAAAGAACATCAGTTAATAGTTCTATATATCTGCATAGTGGTTCAGTCATTTCTAAAATGATTTCTCATTATCTCTCTATATATCATCTTTATAGTTCCTCTCAGCTATAAAATTCTATGATTATCAGTAGCTCATCAGATCATTTCCTCACCTAGAAACATCAACTGTAGACTCTTCACTTTTTCAAAGGCTACTTTTTTCTATAGTTTATCTGTCCATCTGTCCATCCCTTTGTTCACTCAACAAGCACTGATTCTATGTTAGTAGATACTAGACAATGTGCTGAAAAGTATGGTTCTCACCCTCAAAAATACCGCTCTAAAATGGAGGAGACACACAACTTGCTACTGATTAAATAAGCCTGAGGATAGATATAGAATGAACAACCTTGACAAATGCTATGAAAGACAAGAGCAGATGCTGTAATAGCATGCAATAAGGAGGTCTGACCTAGCTGGGGGAGCAGGCAAGGGGAGGTGTCCCCAAAGAAGAGCAACTTGAATGGAGAGCTGATGGATTAATGTGAGCTGTGTGTATTGAGGGGGTGAGGTAGGGCTCTACAGACACAGGAATGGAAAAACATGTTGGATGTGACTTTGGGGCTGCCGAGTGCTAGTGTGCCAGAGGGCTTATCAGTCAGTTCTTCCAAAACCCTTGTGAAGAAAATCATCCTTATTTCCTCCGTTAACAAGAAGATATTCAGAGACATGAAATGCAAAAATCCCAGAGGAAGTGCCTGCTGAAGTCAGATTTCGTCCTTTCTAGTCTCAAATGTTCTAGTGCTGGTGCCTCTCACTCACTTTAACTTACCCCTCAAGGAAGTCACTCCACTTCCCTGGGTCTTGGCTTTCTCATCTATAAAACATAAGACTTAGGTCCTATAGGTTTTCTAAAGTCTCTCTCTTGTACAGCACTTTAGGTTTCTGGAAATACACCTGAGTTAGTGGAGATGGGGAGGAGAGGCCATGAATCCTGCAAAGCACACTTGTGGCTATATTTAAAAAACAAAAATCCTCCTGCATTCATAGTAGAAAATGTTGTAGGCACTGTAGCTATTGAAATGCAGGTTGGAGAGAGCCAAAAATAGCGAATTGCACCCACAGCTAATGCAGGGAAACTGCCATGAAGCGTTTCCTTGGCAATTGAGTTACTTAAAGGTAAAGGAACTCATTCTGATCAAAGACTGGTTGCTCTGTTTCTCGTTCTCTTTACAATTTCTTCAATTGGAATACAACGTAAAGAGGGAAAAAAATAATTGTCAAATCTATTTCACTAAAAAACAAAGGTCATCCAAAAATATCAAGAAAAGGTCAATCTGGTTGGCTCCAAAAAAGCAGATACTCTAAAGGAAGAGGCAAGCTCAGCCCCCTTACCCCTCCCGCACCCTTGAATGCACTATGCATGCCTTAGGAGCACTTCCTTCTCAAACCAATTCCTGTGGATCCCTCAAGTTCTTAAATCACCTAGGGCAGGCAGCGCCAGAATTTACAGGAAACTGACATCTGTCAGTCTGAATGCAAAGCCTTGGATTTCAAACCAGTCAGTTCCTTCTAGAGAACGAAAAAAAGGACAATAGCTGCTATTTCTTAGCATGCATAATCAATGTGGCAAGGGTTGCTAGGCAACGGGCCTAAAGCCTGTCAAACATCCCTGGGTGCCTCCAATGGGAGAGGGCAGCTCTCGCAGCCACTCCTCAGAGGTGACAGTCTGTGCAGGCCCTGGAAGCTGCATTCAGTTTGTCTCCTTCCTTAAAAATTCGCTTTCCTGTGGTTAGGACTGAACCATGAACGGTTTCTTCCCAGGCTCCTGGGTTGGTCTTGGAGCACACATTCAGCTGGCCAACCCGCATTCCTAAAATTGAGCAGGTTACTTAGGCTGGTGAGAGCAGCTTGGTAAAAGGCCCATGTGCTACTCTGATCCATTCATCCCGAGGCTGGGGAAGAGCTGACTCGTTCCTCTCGAGGCTGAAGCCTCTGGATCCCGGGAAGTTAACCAGGACAACCGTTCTGAAGCTTGAGGTCATTCCTGCTTCCAAACAAAGCCTTTGATTTTAGCAAAACTGCACATGCAAGATCACTGAGATGAGACTTCTTAGGTGTATGACCTTGAAGTTGGAATGAATTTTTGAGCTGCAGGCATTTTGTCCTCTCTGCTTAAAATAACAGTTGCGTTTGAATTTCAACAAGAAGGGACTGGCAGAGGAGGAGTCAGGATTTGAGAAAAGGCAAAAATCCAAGGTTTTGTTCCCTGGCTTGTTTTTTGTTTGTTTGCTTGTTTTCAGCGGTGTTGATTAACAAGCGCTCTTCGTAGGTCACTCATTTGCAAACTTAATTGGCAACGCCAGGATGTGTATGAGGACTAGGTCCTGGGTCTAGGTCAGAGGTGGGATTAGGGCTGTGACTGGGATTCAAACCAGGGAAGTCTCACCACCAGTAGCCAAGGGAGATGCGCTCACGTGGAAGCCTGCCACACTGGCTACGCACATGTGATGCCGTCTGATCTTTCATCATTACCAGCCCAAGCCCTTGAAACCTTATTTCGGCGTGTGTTGGGAAGGAAATGTAACCCAAGAGCTGAGAGTGCCCTGGAATTAGCTGTGCAACACCCTCTCTTCAAGGGCATTCAAAGAAATATAGCAAAGCAGGCAAAGAATAAGAAATGATAACAATAAAGAAAAGCTATACCTACTGCGAGATTTTGTGAATCTCTTTCTATCTGGCCGAGGTTCCTCAGCTCCTCCTACACTGTCATCTAGGATTCTCAAATCTCTCAGAATTTTACGTTCAAAGATTCTCACCTTGTGACCTCAAGAATTTGAATTCAGAATCTGATGGGCTGACTGAGCTCTCTGGGTGGTCTCTAAATATCAGTGGGAGGAAACATGAACCCAGAACACAAATCCATGGTCTTCAGTGTCCTTGTGTATAACTCATGGCTAGATTAGGATCAGCTCTTCCCTAAGCTTCTTCCAGCTCTCATATTTTATCAGTCTATGATCTACAAAAATAGAGGCACCTCTTAGTCCCATTTATCCTAAGAGGGAAAAAAGAGCGGCAGAAGAAAGCAAAGCCTTCAGATATAACACTGCCAAATGTTCTGAACATTCTGTGCTTTAAAAAATAACAAACTTTTTGGGTAAATGAAAGTAAAGAGGAAGCAATTGCAACAGCAGGAATTGTGTGCGCCCCCCCACCTCGAATCAGAGCATGATTCTTATTTTACACCTTCTACTCTACTTGACCTCACATCTTTCTAGTATCTCCTTCCTGTCTCCTCTCCTCTGACTCCCTTTCCCCCTTCCATTTGCCAACCTTAGTAAGATGATATTTATTGACACTACATTTACTCCCCCTGAAAGTTCTGTGCTTTCTTCCATTTATTTTTTTAAAATTTTATTATTATGTCTATTTATTTGGAGAGACACAGACAGAGTGTGAGCAGGGGAGGGGCAGAGAGTAAGGGAGACACAGAATCCAAACCAGGCTCCAGGCTCTGAGTTGTCAGTGCAGAGCCCGACACGGGGCTTGAACCCATAAGCCATGAGCCAAAATTGGATGCTCAACCAATGGAGCCACCCAGGCACCCCATGTCCTTTATTCACTTTAAAATACAGCTTTTAGAAACCTCTGGTGAGCGTCTAAGAGCATCCACTCAGGTTGGTTGCTTTGGATGATAAAGAAAGCAAATGTACTGTTTTTTCATTTGGATGAATTTTAACAGAAACTGTGTCTAGTCTGCAGGATGGGAAAGTTCAAGAAGAATTTTACCTCTCTCCTCAATTACCTATTCTGTACATACCAGAGTATTTTAATGCTAAGTACAAATGGAATCTACATCTGATTTTTTTAAACATGAAAGGTTGTCCTGACTATAACCAGTAAACCAACACCACTCATGTAAACATTCTATGTTTGGAAGAAACAAACAAAACCCAACCATCTTCTGCTAAGCCAAGAAATTACATTTTATTATGCTAGCCAAGTCGACATTCCTTTGCCACTTAATTCACTTAATAAATATATGCTTCTTTTAAGTGTTTTACATATACTATTCAATACCTTGGTGAGTTTTCTTTTTAATTTTGACAATGCATCTTTTGTGCTATTTTTGTTAATTCTTGCATTTTAGAGAACTCAGTGGAAACTTTATCCCCTCCAGTAAGATTGATCTTTTTGAAGACCGGGTCTCCTTTTTGAGTTTCAGGGGAAATGACTAGATGTAAGGACTTTCAGACTCCTTTATTTCAGTAAGACCTTGTGTCTCCTAGGGTGGTAGAATCCACAAGAGATGTCATCTACTGCAGGATGGAATCTTGCCCACACTGTATACAATCCTGGAGCTCTGGGAACATTTGGGAGGGACAGAGTAAGGATAACAGAAGATGTCAGCAGAGCAGAGGCTGAGAGGGAAAGTGAAAGCAGGTCTCCCTTCTAGAGCATTCTCAAGAAAGAAGCTACAGCTGAGCTTGTCATGAACATCAAACAATCTGAAGAGACGGGCTGAGACTCCAAGACTTAGCTGGTTGAATTCTGTTTGACCCTACTGACCTCCATCCAGGATTGACTTAGCATTGACTTGGAGGAGTAGCCCAGAGCTATTCACAGCCTGGAGACGGACAGGTTGCCCCTGAGAAGAAGCTCAGACAGTTAGATGTGCCCCAAATACCCTTCCCGCTATCCATTTAGGTACAGGAAATTCAAACACATCCACCATAGCAGATATAATTTGCTCCTGAATTGGCCAAATACAAAATGACATAATGTACTTCCACACATTAGTGCAACCATGGATAATGAGACATTCTGGAGTGTTCTCTTACCTTCACTGCCACCAAGATCTTGTCCTGCTCAGGACAGAGGTTATAGCATTCAGCTAGGAAAACTTTTCCAAAGGCTCCTTCGCCTAGCTCCCTTTTCAGAACAATGTTATGTCGCTTGATGTGCTGAACAACTGTAAAACAAAGACAGAATGGAAATTGGAATCGAGGCATGTGGAGGTGAAGGCAAATGGTGGGAGTCAGGGGTCTTCATCCTGAGTGTGCAGATCTGAGATTCTGCCCCTTTGCACTAGCAAACCAAAGGAGAAACTCAGTATCCATCCTCACCGTCTACCCCAAAGGGCTGGAGGGAAGGTGCACTGGCTTGCTCTCCAGGACTCAATTATTATTTTCAATAGAAATCAAGTAGTGACCTCCTCGTTGGCTATGGAATGTCATTAATGAAATTTCTAGATTAGGAAAGAGAAAAATGAGAACGGGTTGGACATTAATGGCAGGCCTCTCATAAGCCAGACACTTTGCATATACTTATGAATCATGTATCTAGTGGGGAAAGACAGAGAGAGCCAGGAATCCCTAATTCTTTGTTAAGATGCCTCAGACTCCTAAGAAAAATAGGCTCAGAGGACACAAGGGGAAAAGGCAAGATCTGTGCATTGCTAATTAAAGCTCTGTCCTCATCCCAGCTTTTGCCTCCTGGTGACGTGGGCTAGACCACCGTTGAGACTCATTTCTCCTTCCAGAAATGTCTAAGCTGTGCTACAGCTGACTTCCCCAGCCCATTCTATGGTTATGTTCTAGTCTTGGCTATCCAAAGCCAAGGAGAGACAAGAATAGATGCATGGTGGGAAGAGAGAATATTTCCCCCTCTAGTCTAGAGTTGAGCTGGCCCACATTACCGTATGCCTTCCCAAGGAACAAGGCAGGAGGCAGCCAAGACTTTCTGGAAGCCCATTAGCTGCAAGGAGGGGAGCAAAGTAAAGCACTTCTCAGAAGAACAGAGCCACTGGGAAGTTCAGAAGGAGACTCTGTGGAGGACAGAGCTATAGCGGGAGCATGTGTCTCTTCACTCTGTCCATCAAATGTTGAACCCCTCAGCTCAAGGGTTCCACTAGCCCATTGGCCACAATTCTTTTCCTGAAGCCTCATTCCCAAATGGCAGTATTAAAAAGAGATTGGGATGCCCTCTGGAGCTTGGAATGTGCAGCCAACAATATTTTTTCCCCCACAGCCCTGGAAAGTATCCTTCTCTGCATTTTGTACATGGGGAAACTGAGTCTGCAGAAATTTCAGTGATTCACAGTGTGGGACTAGAGGAGTTGAAATTTGAATTCAGGTCTGAATCCAGAGTACATATTTTTTTCTTCCACACCACAAAGTTTCTTTTCCATCGTAAATTGTGCTACACATGGCAAGAGAAATAGAAATACATAAACAATAGAGTAAAAAGTAAACATAATCTCCCAGCTTCCTTTCTGTTTAGTTCATCCTTCAAAGTTGAGTTCAAATTCTCACTTCCTTAGAGAGTTTCCAAGACCACTTTGACCACCAAAGACCTCCTTCTCTGAATTCATATTATATTATCACTTGTGCTTAGTGGAATTCTGGCTTATCTCTTCCAATCATGTCACATTGGGAAATTCCCTGAGTCTAAGAGCAACCCCATCTGTCTCCTATAATCTTGTGCAATGTCTCAGGTGCCAAGCACACAGAAGATTTATTACTGTGGTTTAATTTGATGAACTTTCTTCAAAAGTCTTTTTCTTTTTTTAACCTGAATGTGAACCGTATTTTTAAAACAAAAGAAAGTACAAATCAAAATACTGTAGTTTAAATAATAGTAATAAAATGAATGCCCATAAGTCCACCATCCCATTTAAGAAACAGACTATCACTAGTAGGTTGGAAGCACCACTCTACCACATATTCTTTCTTGATTGTATCCATTTCCTCACTCTCTTCTGGGGGACAGTTACTACCCTGAATTTTGTGTTAATCATTTCCTCTATAGGTTTGCTACTAATGATATATCCCCAATGAGATATGATTTGGCTTTGTTACAGAAATGGAATCACACAATGTGTATTCTTTGCATCTTGCGTTTTTCACTCAACAACACCCTGGGGCATTGAGTTACACTGAGTTACAGTATGTGTGTAGTAGTAATTCTTTTTCTTTTACTACTTTATAATATTCTGTGGAAGGACCATACTGCCACTTATTTATTCATTCTATGTTGATGGATATGCTCTACGGTTTCTTTTTAGATACAATTTCATATAAAATGCATGTGGTCATTAAGGTTTTGCTTTAATAGGATTTTTCCCCTGATAATTCATGTGGTTTGGAGTGATGACGGTTTTCATGGGCCTCTGGGAACTCAGGGTGATAAAAATCAAAAGGTCTTTTATGAGCAACAATATTAATGAATATAAGAATATATATTAATTTCTCATGCTCCAGTAGCAATGGCTGAATTTAAGAGAAGAGAAATGTGTTCATTAGGTAGAGTGCCCATATAAAGAGACAAATGTAATTCTTGCAGAGAATTAGCTGCCATATTTTAATCTAATATTTAACTCCACGGTGGTCACATGTTCATTGGGAAGTAAACTGCCACTTGATTTACTTTACACTTTCATCAAGTCAAGGCAAGTATATGACTTCTTTTTGCTTTTGATTTACATTTTAAAAAACCAAATAGGAGAAGAAATTGGTGGGAAATAAGTCTAAGTTTTTAAAGCTATGGATAAAGCCATGATTCCATCACCTTCAAATCTAAAATTGATGAGACCAATTTTCCTATACTGATCTTGAAAGCAGTAAGTGCATCTTTTTCTTTCAGAAATGGGCCATTTTGCATTAATTTGCTCTGTTGGTTTGGGACATAACTGATTATATGAATTATAATTCATATACATGAATTATATGGCCTTTTGCCAATGTATTCCCTCTCAGCAGAATTTCTCTCTTATGAGACTAGAAGTTACTCAGAAGCACAGGTAATAATTTTGTGGTTGTATTTACATTCCTAACAGGGCCTTACAATGTTTTGCACGTAGTTGATGCCAAAAATATATTTGTTGAAAAAAATGTATCAAACGGTAATAATGGCCACAGATATAAATACTATTTCATCTTATCATTTCAGTTACCTGACAATAATCCTGTAGGCAATAAAGCAGCCACATTCTCAGAGGTCTCAGGGGTGGAGAGAACAACTAACCTGAAGTTCACACATCACTGAGCTAAGAATTTCTTCCCAATCTCCTCCAAGAGAGCATGGGGGCCTCCTTGATTCATTCAAATCTTGGCTGTGCCCCAAGGATCTCCATGGTCTCAAATGGAGGCCATCCTCCAGCCTTATCCCCAGATACATCAGAGCCTATGTGCCTGATTTCTGGCCACTATCTCATCTCTTCAGCTAGAGCCCCAGCTGTCTCAAAGTATCTACACTAAGGAGCCATCAGTCATACCATTTCTGCCCCCTCATTGCTGGTTACTCCTCTCATCCACTGATTATGTTTTCCCTATCCACACTACTGGTGCCTCCATCCTCAGGGCTTAAGGCACAGAGTTCTTGCCTAAGCTGCAGAAACGCTGAACTCACATTTATCCTGAGTCTTCCAGGGTTATAACTAAGAGCCCAGCATTGGGAGGTTTAGTCTGGCTGTCTGAATGGCATTAAAGTGATTTTTTTCTGAGAGCAAAACTGTCTAAATGAAGGAAGAAATACACCAATTCACATTCTGGACAACGTGAATTAGCACTGTGGATTAGCACTTTGAATAACACTATCTTTAAGGACCCTGTGAACATTTGGATTTATTTTATACCAAGTATTCTGAGTGAAGTGAGTCTAAAGATCCCATGATAAATAAGCTATCAGGTAAACATGTAAAATTTTTACACTTGGAGGAAAATTCAAAACGATAGCTGATTTAAAAAAAAAGTTTTCTAGAAAAGTGTTTCTTTAGGGCACCTGGGTGGCTCAGTCAGTTAAGCATCCGACTTCGGCTCAGGTCATGATCTCGTGGTTCCTGGGTTTGAGCCCCGCATCAGGCTTTGTGCTGACAACTAGCTCTGCTTCAGATTCTGTGTCTCCTTTTCTCTCTGACCTTCCCCTGCTCATGCTGTCTCTCTCTCTCTCTCTCTCTCTCTCTCTCAGAAATAAATAAAAAACATTTAAAATTTTTTAAAAAAGAAAAGAAAGGTTTTTCTTTAAAATTCACCTTGTCAGAAGACAAAGAGGTGTCAATAAGGGATATAGGTGGTGTAGCAAATACACCACCAAACTCATGTGGTCTATAGACTGATTTTGTACCCTGATACAGCCAAAACAAATAATGTGATTAGATTATTCTACAAATAAATCTACTGTATAGAATCAGAGAGAAATTGATGACCACCAATAGTAATGAAGATGAGTGGCTAAAACTATCTGGACATCTTTGTCATTAATAGAATTTTCCAGAGTGGAAATTTGGGGCCCTTGGTCATTTGCTTCATAAGTACCAGAAGTGAGTAGATTTCCAGTTTTGTGTTAGTATCACATAATTACAACCACTGACAAATGCGTTTTGTCAGAAGTATCTGCAGTAGTTTACAGAGACACTTGCAATTTCAGATGGTCTAAATCACATTCCTGGTATTGATATCTCACAGAAGCAGATATTCTATATATACACACACAGGCTACAGATAAAGTATTCATCCATGTCTATATCTATTACTACTAACTCTAAAACTAACTCTCTAACTAACTAACTACATACATACATAAATAAAACTCTACTCACTAAAGGGTGAAATTGGAACTATGTTCTTCCAATTTCCTCAGTAATGGGACTTCACAGAAAGCCCGTTGGCCCAGTGGACATGTCCTGCTCAGCATATGACACTTAAATTGAGTAATTAATTGAAATCTCTAATATATACCAAGTTTAAGTGATCTTTAGTTAAAAGGAAGACTGTTTTAAAATTTTAACCAGAAAAGTTAAATGGATTGTATCCTTGAAGATAATGTTCTAGAGTAGATGAGATATCTCTGTTTTCTTACAAAACCAAATGGAAGGATCACCTTCAACAATTCCATTGCAAAGGGCCGGACACTATAATGGCAAACAAACTTAAAGTTTGTTGAGGCTAACTGCCTCATGTTTGACAGTCAACA